TACAGCCACAAAAAGGTGTTTGCATGGGACAGCTACGTCATACTTTTGTTGATTGTGGTATGATCACACCAAAATGCCATACTGCGCCTGTTGCTCGCAAGTCAACGTCTTGCTACTCGATTCTCAGCTGGTTGAACCGAAGCAGCATGGCATAAATTCCTTGCGCAGGGGAATTGACGGTTAAGACAAACTTTGTCTGCTCTCGGACCTCAAACCCGGCGCCATCGGAGTTCAGAACGACATCTTGACCACCGTGCCGTCCTATGGTTAATAATTGGTTATGAGGCGAATATGTTAATTGGAACTTCTCAGGTAGTGATCGATGCTACCATCATTAAGGTGAGTAACACTTTTTGGAAATCGCTATGAGTTTCATGCCCTATTTAAGTTTCCACAATTGTCCTGTCACTAGTATGCCATGTAGCATCCTTTTCCGAGGTTTTTCTCTCACTAAATAATGCGATATTCTCTTAGACAGCTGCCGCGTTCTAAGATGCGAGACTGCAGGACGCAGCAGAACAACCAACTGGTGAAAGAGGAAAGATGACGTCATTTTGGTGCGGTTTCCTATAAGCTGTTTCCGTTGCATCCGTCCATTGCCGCAACCGTAGCGCTGCCCTTTCGCTTCTTATTCGCTACACATTGTTAGATGAAGGGCAGGCGTTGATGTCTGTTATATGCTAGTGAGGAAAAAACGGTAACCAGTTACATTACGCAATGAACTACGTACCTTTGCAAGCACAGAACGAGAACGCGACAATCGAGCTGAATAGACGGAGGCATTATCAGAGCTTTCGTATGCGAGGTTAGTCAGTTAGTGATGAGTTTGTTCAGAAGTTCTGGGCACGATTGCAAGCAGCCGATAAGAATCCCGGTGTCTAGCACAAGAAGTTTGGCTCCTCGTGTCACGCGTGAGTCCCCCCCCGCAACCCACCCGCGTCTTCATCCCTCACTTCTAACCTTTCATGTTTTGATCGGTAGTTGAAGTGTTGCTACAAAGCGCTAATCGGTAGTTCTTCCGT